CTTTTTAATTTAAGGAGTTATGATATCGAAATTGATGAAGAGTATTTGCATTGGAAGGAAAAAAGAGAAAAGAAAAAACAAAAACAAAAATAAATAAAATGAGGTGATTTGAATCACTCAAAGCGCATTATCGCTTTGAGTGATAATAGAGACCGAGAAATGAGTGAATTACTCAAAGCGGTTTGCTGTTCTAAGTAATCCGAAAGAGAGAGAGAGAGAAAGAGAGGGAGGGAGAGAGAGAGAGAGAGAGAGAATTTTTACAAGAGTTTTATCGCTTCATGTAATCGGAAAGAATGAATATGAATCACTCGATGCGTTTTACTGCTTCAAGTATCAAGAATAATAAGGAAATGTAATCACTTGAATCTCTTTACCGCTTCAAATAATCACGAAAAGCATTTTACCGCTTCATGTAATAGGAAGAATAAAGAAATGTAATCGCTCAAAGCGCTTTATCACCTTAAGTAATCACGAGAATCATTTTATTGTTTCATGTAATAGGAAGAATAAGAATGAATTACCTGAAGCTTTCTACCGCTCCAAGTAAAGGTGAAGTGATAAAGAGAAGTAACTACTCAAAGTGCTCAAAGTGCTTTACCGCTTCGAGTAATCATAATAAAGAGAGAATTACGAGAAGCGTTTTACTGCTTCAGATAATCAGAAGAAATGAGTATGACCTGCTCGAAACATTCCAGTAATATAATTAATTGTTTTAAACAAATATGAAATGGAAAAGAATGGTTTTATCAGACAGCCAGGAAATGGATGGGAGTCGAAAAATGGCAATTTCTGCAATGGTTCGTTTCATACTAATGAAAATGTTTTTCGAAGTATTGAGGAATTAATTACTCACTATCTCTTCAATTGAACGAGAGGATAACGGTAATGAATCTTTCAAACAACTTGGCCAGAAGATGGGGCTGGTAGTGCGGGCTCTCGAAGAAGTTGGTCTTGAATATTAAGGGAAACCGATTCAGGAACGATGTTTTATACAACCGATCGGGAAAACTTCACGCACTAACCGAGACTATGGTTTCGGAATTACAGAAACTGATGGTGTATTACTGATTGTGTTCCTCAAAGAGGCCTCGTATTTATATTCGTGGGGACAATATGTCCTTCTTTGTTTTTGGCAGTAGGTCATTCTAGTCTTCTAGGAATTGAACACTTGGAGGAATCGGATTGGTGGATGTTTGTAATTAGTCTTATCTAACTCCGAAAACGCGCGAGCAACGTCAAATGCTGGTAAACAAAGCTTTAATGTAAAAGATTTATTGGACAATGATTGACCTTCTGTCCCCGTGACTTGACTAACTCTGAGTCCTGTCGATTAAATTTGTCACTAGAAAAATTTTAATTATTTTATCAGTATTTGGTTTGCTATATTAAATAAAAATTATTTATTTCCTAATAACACAATGAACGTTCGATATAAATTTTCTATGAAAGAAAAGACTCGTGGAGTCTCTCTCTGGACGTAACATAAATATTAATTTAAATTAATCTAGTTGTTAAGATTACATTTGTTCCTAAAACAGTTAGTTTAATAATAAATAAACTTCACAATTAAGTAATGTATTATATGTAAATATAAAAATTAGTTCAGTATTAATTTCAATACTTATACGAAAGATTTTATTCTAATAATATTAATAATATTATGAAATATGATAATTAATTGTGATTTTATACCTAATTTAAATGAAAAGCTAACACATTTTTTAACGTGCAGATTAAAACGAATCACATAAAGTCTTTAGAATGAAAAGCATTATAAATTTTTTAAAAACTTATCCTTACTCACAGTTTTAAGGACTAATGACTATTTTTATAAATATACAATATACAATAATTTTACAATATACATTAATTTTTAATTTCTCTCCTCTGTTAAACTACTTTTAGAGTTCCAATCAGTAATCGCAATAACTGTTATCACAATAATCTGAAATTGACGTCAATGAAATATTATCTTTTGGGAGAGGGGGTGGGGTCATCATGGCTCGCGGGAAACAGGGCCCGCCATGTTATTCTCTTTCTTTCACCCATTATAAGGTGCAGTTCTCTTCCTCCAACTCATTGAGACCCTATACTCATGCTCTCTCTCTTCCTCCCATTGCAGTTCCATATCTACCGCATTATTCGCGCGTTCTCTTTCTCCCGTTACAGTCCTATACCTATCATCTTATTCATGCTCTCCCGCTTCCTCTCATTGCAGTCCCATACCTACCATTTTATTCCCTCTTCTTCCCCTGTTATATTTTCGTGTCTTTTCTTATCGATTTTATTAAATGGGTATTATTAAGATAGATATTTATTCAACGATTTTAAAATGATATGGCCTAGCGTGATAATGTCTGAATCTAAATGTAATAATTTTTAGTTGTATAATGAGCGCCTTATCAACTAATTTAATATACGGAGCATGACGAAGGAAGGTGTAGAGACAAAGGAATAAATAATTTTAAATATAGAGTAATATTTATTAATATTTATTAATAATAAAAAAAACTCTCAATAAATAAACTAATATTAGTATTAATTCAGGCAAATAAGAGTTAGAACTTCTTGTTTTTTTTTTTGTCCGACAAAAAGGCATTGTATTTATATTTAAATACAATATTTTAAAATATAATAATAAAAATGAGATACTTACCATTAATTCCACATTTTCTCGGGCTCATTGATCATACGAACGAAATCCGAATAAATAATGCATGTCGAAAATATCGAAGAGCACTCAATTTAAATAAAAATTATTATAATACTGTAATTACGTCGTAATTACAATATTATAATAATTTTTTATTATATTATTGTTTATTATATTATTGTAGAATATATATATATATATATCGATACTTGGAGAATTTATTAACTCCGATTGAAGAAATTGATTATTTTACATTCTCCAATAATAGAGATGTCGTTTTATCGAACGAGGTGCTTCCAAATTCCATTTTTATCTTTGACGACGTAACATGCGAAGCAAGACGCGATCAGAGAGTACTTTGCGACATGCGAATGTCGACTGTTTCTATCTTTGTCAGACATGCAAAGATACCGAAGCATCTTATACGTGATAATGCAAATCTGTTGATCCTGTTCAAATAGGATGGTACCAATCTGAAACATATATACAATGTAAATACCGACATTAATCTTACGAAGATTTTTGTGAATTGTATCGCTGTTGTTGGCAGCGAAAGTATGGATTCGTTGTGATAGACAAAGACAGTGCGCTCACAAATGGATGATATAAAAAAAGAATTTAATGAGTATGCGATATTGTAACGTGGTTAGTCGTTGTAGATACGTCACTTACGCAATGTTCCCTCTCGAGTATAACATGGATTGTGAAAGAGTAGCAAAGCAGATTGCAAAAATGTGCAGTGATTCGAAACCAGTGATCGTAAAAAGTATCGCGCTTTGAAAACCAATAAAATAAAAGAAGACATAGTGCTGGAGAGACACTTTCAGCCTAGCATCGAATCTCTAAAACAAATTGTTGAAAACACCGCTGGCAAGGAATCAGCCGATTAAGAAAGAAGTAAATGTTGCAAAGGATAAAATTATTAAGAAAAGAAAACCTAAAGATAACGAAGATAACGAAGATAACGAAGATGATAATAATGGTTTCTGGATAAAGCATGACTTCAATTAACACACCATCGCCTAAAAAGCAACGCATAAAGGAATCGATTGTCATGTCGGATTCATTTAATTCTACATGGACCGCATCACGCAAATTATCGTAGGAACATTTATTCTTCCTTAGCCGAAGACATTTATGAAATGCCCAATGAACCGCTTGAAATGTTAGTTAAACAGTCTTTGCAAACGCAACAAGTTCGTGAGGAGTTGCATGATCAACGGGAGCCTTTGGGACAAAAATACATAAACATGCTTCTCGGTGGCGATAGAAAAAAAGGAGATCGATCATGGTGTATTCTCTCAGCGAGAACAGCACGATGCTCGGTGATAAACAATTCGATTTAGACACGATTGATTTCCTGATCATAGATGTAGTAAAATACGAAGGTACACCTGGGTTGTACGAATTAATTTTCAAAAGAATTCCCGACGACACTATTTACACAGAGAATGATAAACTAGCATATAAAAGTATACTGTTGGCAACGAATGCTCATAGCCGCAGTCATAAATAAAGCCGCGGATAATCCAATAGTGGGTAGCAAAGAATACAAATATAAAAATATAAAAGCATCCTTGGTGTCAGGTAAAATACAAGTTGGAACGGGCATATCACGCGCTAGGAAACTAAAACAACAAGTTAGGTGAAAAAGTCGGAAAAGGTGTAATACCGCGTGCCATGACTCTAAATAAAAATAAAATCGATTATGTTCATTCGGACGATACACAGTGCGAAAAATATGTGTATGATTCGAATCGTTTCTCTACTGATATTTAAAGTCTCCTCCATCATTTTTAGTGATTCATTGCGATCATTTGCAACAAAATCACGTACTTTTTCGCTCATTTCGGGTGTTCGAACCAAAATTGGCCGTCCTGATTTTTTGTCATCTTCAAGGGTCTCTCTGCCTTCCAAAAAACGCTTATGTCACTCAAAAACAGCTGTAAGACCTAGACATTGACTGCCGTAAACTTGTTGCATCGATCGGAATGTTTCTGATGCACTTTTACCAAGTTTTGCGTTAAATTTAATCACTGCTCTTTGTTCCATATTAAAATTTCTACCTCGACCAAAATCTTGTTTAACATGAACTGTCATATCTTCGTTATATGTCAACCAAAATGAATGAAACTTTGACAGATGATAGCAAAATGTTCAACCTTTAAAAGGCATGTTTGAACGCACAGATGTCGCCATTGGTTACTGAGATGTGGTTCGTGTCCGGGAACATATTTGTCGCACTGTGTATATCTAGTTGAAATAGTGTTGTGCAAAAAGGGGAATGACGTTTATATGAAATGGCTGGAATTTTGTAATTCATACACACACAATTCAGGGATACTCAAAAACAATGTGTTATAAATGAATATATTTCTACGAATTATATATCAGTATATATTTATTACAATATGTAAACATGTAATTGAGATTTTTCTTTAATTAAAAAATATATAATATAAACATACAAAAATAAGTTTTTTTTTTATTACAAATACATAAGTGTACAGAAATGAAATTCATTTTACTTATTTCTCTTTTTTTTTTATATAGTAATATTTTATAATGTAGTGCCCATGGCAGTGTGTCTGTAGAATCTGACATAATGTATCGCTTGTCATCGTATGAACTTAGAGCAATTTTTGTTTCCGATATAGTGTATACTTCTTGCAATTTCGATCTTATGCACGATTGCCTATGCTTCTTTTCGTTATTTAGAAATCGCATGTAATCATCAAATGTCGCTATAACGTTACTACTTTTGACTCCTTTCTTCGTATTCTTTTTCCCATCGACGTGCAAGGCGTATATTTTTATTTTAAACCCAACGAATTGATCGAGCCGTTGTTTTCATCTTTCATTAAGCCCGGAACTTTTTTATTAGCTAGCTGAATACTATACGCATTGTCAACCGCATCGTTAGTGTCGAATCGATTAATAACACGTTTTATAATATTGTAGACGTTGTCGCACTCGATGTAGTAAATAAGACTATCCATATCAGTGTAATACATAACTTTATAATTTTCACGAAATAGCGGTGCAATGTCCTCGTGGTGAAATTCGTACGAACATGTCTTGTATATATCAATGATACACATATCCACATATATCGGTTTTGTCGAATTTCGCCTCGAGTTTACGCATTTCTATCGCGACTAGATTTTCGGAAAAAACGCTTCTACAAAAGTTTGGTTTCGCGATCATTCCCTCCGCACCGTATCTCTCGTCCCAACGCGTTACAAGTCACACTTCGACGTGATTGCGCACGTTCTCCATGGTTTAACCAAATACAGTATTATTCATTAATTTATACAAATTTTTCTTAAACTCGTTGATGACAAAAGTTATAAACTTTGTATTGAGTTCGATGTATTTGCGAGCCACACATGGAGATTGTAGTACTAAATTTTTGCGATATTAAAACCGTGACGGTTACATTGCTGTAGATTATGATAATGAATTACGTAACGCTTCTTATACAACGTAGCGAAGAGCTTTTTTTCTCGCTTGTCGGGTGGTTTCTCGCGTATCGGATAGAATGGTAGATCTGTGTGAACGTCGTGAAGATGTTGCGGCTACTCCAAGTCTACCTCGAGAACGTAATCCGTGAATCTGTCGCGATGGTCGTAACATCAAAATTTTCTACATCGTCGATTTATCGAAAATCGCCATATGGTAATGGTTGATACATTGCCCAACCGTACAGGTTGTTAACATCAAAGTCGATTGTTTCTATGAATCGTGCGACTGCATTTGTTGTTAGCCTGTGCATATTTGTTTGAACATTGGCTCACGTATACCGCCTTCGAATGTGTCAATGTTCGTAAGAAGTTCGAATTTTATACGTGTATGTTTCGATATCGCATCCCATGTAAAACTCGGTAGAGTATAATAATACGCGGGATCGAGCCCGTAACTTAGTAACTGTTACGGAAATTTTCGAAAACGTCGGGTAACAATAAAACGTCTGTCTTTAAATACAGATCGCTATATTCATCGAGCGTTTAAATGGAGAATCGCTGCCACACAGCGTACGCGTAATCGCTTTCGGATATCACCTGTCAGTGAGCTGTAAAATAATTCGCGATGATAACTCGGTTTCCTCTAACTTTTCGACGCAGTCAATGTACTCGTACGGAAATATGTCTTTGCGTGTGAGAAGATCGAAATCGTCTGCGCTGAGGTTAAAAAATTCTGGCCGTGTAATTTTCCATTTATCTTTATTGAGATATGACGCCAATTTTTCTAAATTGATACTGAGAAATTTATAAGTCAATCATAAATCAATAAAACGTAATTTTATATATTTTTTCTTATTATTTGTAATGTCGTCATGTTTTGTCAAGGAAATATATTTTTCTTTTGTTGTAGGAAATATATCTATATACGTTCTTTATACATGATAGTTATATTTGATAATAAAATGCGCGTCGTATCCCGATAAATTATAAAAAACTATGGGAATGCAATATGAATCTTTGTAATTCAAGTTGCAATTTAAATGTGCGATATCTTTGTATCAAGTGATCAAGTGACAATGATCGTGTACCCGCTTGTTATCTGGCGCAAACAGTTTATCACATATGTGGCAATGCGTAGCGTTGTTAAAATTTATCATATCATTTCGCGTAAAATCTGTCATGCGAACGTTAGTGGACAAAATAATCTTTATTTTACGCTAAGTTTCTAAGTTCCTCGGCGAACCGCGACGAAATTTATATAACAAATCGTCATACGAACAGCGGACATAATATGCTAAATTAAATACTCGATGATGCTGGAACGTGTAGCCGGACGTTTCGATATCCCAGACGTTTTCGTTTATCCCTCTCCGTTTTCTTCAGGATGCATTCCAGGTTGGCGTAGATCATGACCGGGATACATTTCTTCCTGATATAGTTGCCGAAGCTCAACCATTTGTCGTCTTCGCTCGGTAATTTGATGGCACAGTCGTTTATTTTTTCTATTGTGTGGATCTCTAGTTTTGCATTTGAACTAAAAAGTGTAAGCATCTGAAAAAAGAAAATTTATTAATTTCTTAAAGAACTTTTTTAGTACAAAAAATTTTTACGTAATTTTTAATTATATATACATATTGGTCGCTAAAGACAGACTTTTCATTAAAAAAGTTTTAAGAAAATGTATATTTTTAGTCTGTTTTTACCTTTGATAAAATTTTCACAACACCATGTTATCACTGTATGCAAATAGGACACATGTTACACGGCATTATTTGATAAAGAAAACCTTTGCATTCTGAACAGTAGTAATCTTTGAGAAGCGCACACATGTCGGTATCATTTTTTTGAACAGCACGAAGACTTGAAAATTGATTTATTCTTACGACGTATGATGAGCAATATCTTCCATGACCATCAGTGTAATAGAATTCAATGCAGCATATCTTTTTCCTAGGACGTAAGGTGTCTACTTAAGCTCGATTTCAATCTCGATATATTATTTTTTTGATTATATCATCATCGTTCTCCATATCACTACCAAAACACGAATTATTTGACAACACTGAGAGAAAGGATTTTGTTAATTTAGCAAGCCATCAGAATCTTTAACCGGTGATCAGTGAATATGTGACAACATATTTTGTTGTTGTGTTTGCTGCTAGTCTGCTATACCAACCAATTATTATTAGTAACAGAAGCAAACTATTATATATAGAATCTAATCTATCTTTTGGATAGACTTTAGGCTCGTTCAAATGTGCACAGTCAATAGGAAGAATACTTGATTAGAATTGGTTAATTTCTTCAGGATTTGAGATCCTGCAATCGTCTACTTTTATATATATATATATAAAATATATGAGTATGGGAAAAAGTTCGTGGCGTTTTTCCACTACATGATATTAAATGCTCAGTACTCGGTAACTACTAATCGCATCGACAACACTAAATGTGTTTAAAAAGTGACATTTCAACCTTTGTTTTGAGCCGAAAAAGATTGAAATTGGTGAAATGGATCAAAATTATTTATTATTTTATTTTATTTTGAAAATGAAAATAATAAGGAAAAAATTCGCTACATTTTGCAATATTACTACGATAAAGGCAAGAACGCTGCACAGGCTTGTGACAAAATTTGTGCTACTTACGGTGAAGATACTCTATCAAAACCAACAGCACGGAAATGGTTCGCTCGTTTTCGTCCTAGAAATTTCGATGTAAAAGATGAACCTCGCTCCGGTCGACCAATCACTGAAAAGTCCGATGAAATCATGGAAAAAGTCAAGCGTGATAAGTATGTGAGCATTGTGGAGATTGCCAGGGAACTAGGCATCGACCACAAAACAGTTTTAAATCATTTACACAAAGATGGATACAAAAAGAAGCTCGATATTTGGGTTCCTCACGAGTTGAGTGTTAAAAACATGATGGACCGAATTAACATTTGCGATACGCCACTGAAACGGAATGAAATTGAGCCATTTCTGAAGAGAATGATAATTGGTGATGAAAAATGGATCGCGTACGATAATCGAATTCTCAAAAGATCGTGGATAATGGAAGAAGAGAAGGCATAAGCAATTGCAAAACCTGGATTGATGACGAAGAAGGTGTTGTTGTGTGTGTAGTGGGATTGGAAAGGAATCGTTCATTATGAGCTGTTATCGCCCGATCACAATTAATTCCGAACTCTACTGTGAACAATTGCAGAGATTACAACAAGCAATTGAGAGGAAGCAGCCAGAATTAATCAATAGGAGGGGGTGTCGTCTTCCATCATAACAACGCTCGACCACACACATCTTTGATAACTCGGCAAAAATTGCGAGAGCTTGGCTGGAAAGTCTTAATGTATCCACCGTACAGTCCTGACGTAGCATCCTTAGATTATTATTTGTTTAAGTCTTTGCAGAACTCTCTTAATGGTGTAAAGCTGGCTTCAAAAGAGGCCCATGAAAATCACTTGAAGCAGTTTTTCGATCAGAAACTACAGAAGTTCTATCGCGATGGGATTATGGTTCTGCCCCAGAAAAAATGGCAAAATATTATTGAAAATAATGGAGCATATTTGATTTAAATAAATTGATTTTAATACTCTAAGAAAAACATTTGAATTTTACTAAAAAACACTTTTTCTCACACCCTATATATATATATGAGTCTCTTATTTGCTAACGATACTATTGATTATTTATTACAATGACGAATTAATTTGTAATTATAACAAATCAATCGGTTTTTTAACAAATATCACATTTGCTTTCCCTTAATTTGTTCCTATAACAAAATAATTTCTCTCAGTGAAAGCATGATTTTCATCGGACATTTCTTCATGTTGATCATTTATTTCTTTTTCCATTACTTCATCCGTGAAATGCAAAATCCATTTTTCCATCCATTTTTCTTCAACATTATATTGATGTTATATGTTTGTGTAAACATACACAAACTTCAATGGATCAGTCAATTAGTTTCCACTGTGGCCACTCCAGAAGAAACATCTATGAGGGTATTATATTAGGTGTTGGAATTAATTCGTAGCGTTTAACAAGTGATGGGAAGTACTTTCATTAATGTATTTTTTAATGCTCATGTGAAATAAATAACATTCTTTCATTAAAAAACGCTACGAATTAATTCCAACACCTAATATATACTTTAAAACATTAATTGAGAGTTGTGAGTTTCCATTACTCTGTATGTAAAAAAAAATGGATAAACAATATTGTTCGTCGATGCATTTGATTCGCGGTAGAGAACTTGAATTGAAACTCTTATTCGCAATACTAATACATGGCTATGAACTTAGACGATCGAATTAATTTAATTTAATACATTTATGGCATTTACTACGCGAAAACCTCGTATCCGATATCCTTCAACCGGTATAGCAACTATTCTTCGAAATATAAAATATCTAAAAAGAAAAAAAATCCCCATTTTGGGATATGTCAAAAAAATGTGGAAGGGAGTACTATTTAAAAGAAGGACCCGGACAACATTATTGCATCAGTCTCTCAGACGGATTCGACGGACAGCTATCGCTAAATTCTCTGAAAACAAAATCTCAAGCTATGTACTATTACGTTTCGATTCACCAGGATGAAGCACCAAGATGGGGGACAGTAAATTTGTGTTCAATTATATAAAAAATTTTGTGTATACATTTGTGTTCAATAATATATAAAAAATTTTGTGTATACATTTTATATATTATATATTTTTTTTACGTATCGCTTTCTATTTCTTTTACAGTATCTTCTCACTCGAAACCTCACTACTCTTTACATCTTGAGAAGGAGATAGTCATTAACGCATGCGGTTTATAAATATTTAGACATAGGAATCAGTATAGGACTTGTATCCCATGTGGAAATTGCAATTAGTGCTAACCGGATAATCCTACCTCACGTGGAAGGCATTCATCGACAGACGCGAGGAGCAGCTGTGGTCTGTAATTATGCCACTATCCCTAACCATTCAAGGCCTGAATGTGGAATTTTGTAAACTGTATGGTAAGTATATACAAAGTACATACAAAGTAAAATTATCATTATGTGGTAAATGTTTGTATATGATGTCATCAACCTTGCTTTTTATGCTTGATCTTGAATATTGTGTCGAGTATATTTAGGACTATCTCAGAATGTGTATAACACGAGTGAGAACTTTAAACATTTTATTTCATATTTACGTTAAGAATGTGTTACTAATCAACGCAATGCTGTAAATTTGTTGCACAATATTTGTGATAAAAGTTTCCTTATAGAATGTGAATTGGTAGCATACGTTTTTGAATCAAATTATATACTACTCTGTGTTTATTTATCTCTTTGTCTCTATATCTTTATTCTTTCATTATATCCTATATATTAAATTAGTTATTGATAAGACGCTCATTACACAACGAAAAATTATTACATTTAGATTCAGACATTATCACGCTAGGCTATATCATTTTATAATCGTTGAATAAATACTTATCTTAATAATACTCATTTAAAATCGAGAAAAAAAGACAACGAGGGGGAGAACACAACGGGGGAAGAAGAGAGAGCGCAAATAATATGATAGGTATGGAACTGCAACGAGAGGAAGCGGGAGAGCGTGAGTAAGATAATAGATATAGGACTGCAACGGGAGAAAGAGAACGCGCGAATAATATGGTAGGTATGGCATTGCAAAGGGAGGAAGCGAGAGAGCATGAGTAAATACAGGGCCGCACGAGTTGGAAGGAGAAAACTGAAAAATTTTATAATGGGTAGAAGAGAGAGAAAATAACATGGCGGGCCCTATCTCCCCCTCCTGCGGTTCCCTCGCCCAGTGACATCAGACTCCCTTCCTCGAATCCTAAGTCTAACAACGTACTTCCCCCACCCTTGGACCCCTCACACACACACACACACACACACACACACACACACACACGTACGTACGCACGCACGCACGCACGCACGCACGCACGCACCGCGTATACGCACTAACATAGTGATCTAGAAACGGCCCAGTACAGGGTTGGCCATATTCGACGGAAAGATGTTTTTTTTTTCAATCATGGGAAACGTCGTTACTCGATCTAACATCTCTGTCAAAAGTTACAGTGGTTGCCAGATCTTTCCGAATATGGCCAACCCTGTATACCTATTAATCTCTATTGATTATTTCTATCACCGCATTGAGGAAAACCATAATTTTAAATGGGAAGATGTTAAAATCTTGGTCATAGAACTTTCCTGTAACAAAAGATTAATTTCGGAAATGGTGCATATAAAATGACAAAAACTCGGAATTAATAAACAAAATGATACTGATTTGTTGCCTGAATTATATTTTAATATAATACAGTGTCTTTTCCCTTTCTAGTTGTCTTTTTTTATTCCTTCTCCAATTAGTATTTTTCCTTTGTCTTTTCGTCTCCTCTTGCTATTGTGTTGCTGTATCTCGTCTGGGGCATTTTTCTCATTGTTAATATATGTTATATATATTATATATTATTGACTGTATATGATTTGAGACACATCTTTATTTTCACTTTACAATTTACTCCAATTAGAGATGAAAATGTATGAACGATTGTTATTTTCTCGTTTATTGAGATTTAAACTCTTTTCTGCAGAAGGTAAGCAGTATATGGGCAACCATGGAGCGTCAAACCTCTTCCACGTCTCCCTCCGGGCGTAGTCTAGACGGCTTTTTCTGTCTAGAAAAAGAACGCGCTCTGATTGGTTCGAGGAGAGAAGGGTGGGAGTAATAAGGTAATTAAATGGTGTGTTCTGATTGGTTCGTCCTATACTTGACAAAGATCTGATTGATTCACATCGTACACGAGATAATTGGAGAAGGGGGGGGGTGATAAAGGATCTCTGATAAAATGGAGGGTAAAATTCGAAAAAATGGTGAGTGGAGACTGTAACATTTTTTGTGAGAGCAGAGTACGAACACCAGGCATGAATAATAAACGGTTTTATGACGGTCATTTCTGTTGGCGCGGCACAATGTCTCCGACGTGTTGACGTTTTAGTGAATCCTTTTTATTTATAAGAAATGAGATTTTATAAGAAAATTTGAGACTAGGGGCTTTTACTTTTGCTCGGAAGAAAAGGGAGAAGTAAAATAAGAATGAACATGTTTAACTGGCGCGACGTCTTCGAGTATTACTTAAAAAAAATTCTTTCTATATTTTATGTATTTAATGTACATTATCTAAGTCTGTAATACGAGAGAAAATGTATTTATTGTAAATGAGGGTGGGGGTAAGAATAAGAAACAGGCAATATTTATAAGTTCAAAACGTTTATTTAAAAAAGATATTACATATTAGAGAGATATTTAAAAGAAAAATAGTTATTTATTTATTTTTTTTGAAAGAATACACATTTGAACATGACGGTATGCAGCATGAGAATTTACGAATTTATGTTTACAATGAAAACAAATTTTAAATAATTGTACGATCAATTGGTCATTTCGCTTACAATCAGAGGTAAACAGATTAAGAAACTGGCTAAGATTATAGCCATTACACTTAAAATGTAGAAATGCACAGCAATATTGTCCACAAGTTTGAGAAAGTATTCCTTGTAGTGTTGTCGCATTCCAGCGATACGTGATGGAGTTTCGTCGAAGTCGTAAGAGGAATCTTGGATCTAAAGGCGACAAACCATAGCTACCGAAATACGTTCCTATTTCGTGTTTATCGATGTAGAAAGCGACCCAGTGTTGGCTAGGTCGATCGTGATCGTCCGTGTTAGCGACAATGGCAGTCGATCTTTTCCACACTCTTAGCAGTCGATCGGCAGAATAGATCCCCGCATGTCGGATACTGAGATATTGTAATATGCGTTTAAAGCGAATTCATTTCTCGTCATCGGAGAACGTGAGAGAGGAAATGTTTGCGTAAATTCAAAATTTACTTCTTTTGTTGGCATGTACGATGTAGTGGCGGAAAATTCTTTTCCGATCATTTTGGACGCTAAAGAATCGTTTATTAGTTGTTTCTTGGAAATATTGATTCTTACTGAATCGATTCCTTTCTTTAGATACTCGGTTCTTTTTTTATGACAGTGCTACTTCAGCA